GGCCGCTCTAAACATTGATATCATTAATGTAGAGAGGAGAGCACTCGTCGGGGCACGCTCTCTTTATTTAAAGGCCACCTGTGGGTGTTGGGGAGAGAGAGAGAGAGAGAGAGAGAGAGGGGATGACAGTCAGATAGCATTAATGAGAAAGTGAGTTGGAAAGAGAATCAGGAAATTGCTGTGGCTAGCGGCGAGATAAGTGACAAGAAAGGAGAGAAATACGAGAAAAGGAGTGTGCCAAAAGTAGAAGTGAAGTAGTCTGCCGACCATGTCACAAATGCACTGGTTGTGTGTGTGTGTGTGTGTGTGTGTGTGTGGGTGTGTTTGTGTGCGTCAGTATCTGCGCGCTGGTCCTTAGGGTGTTTTCCAACCATGTTTTGTATATTCTTTAGACAGACCTGTTTCCTTTGAGAATCCTGTCAGTGAAGATGAAAACACACTCTCTATACGTTCACGCCAAATGAATATTTCATATTTCATATCCCACAGACTTTGGACAGCGTCTGCAAATAGTCCCCTGTCTCGTGTTATCCAGCCCAGTCAACTCCTTTTTTGTCTGCCTATCTGCGTTCGCTCCTATGAAGGGGAAGCTGGAAACAAAGACTCCAATTAGTCAGGCAATTACACTCGCGTTTTGTGTCCTCTACTCATCCTCTGAGTCACATGCTAATAGCTATTCTTTCCTCTTCCATCTCTCATTTGCCCTTTTATGTCTCTGTTTTCTCTCCTGGCTTTGGTGTTCTGTGTGAAATCTTGTCTTGTAGTGTATTTTTTTTACCCTTTCAAGATACAGAAATCATTTATAATTCCCTCTCTGTTTCTGCTGTTCATTTGCTATTTATCGCTCCTCCTTCATCTTTCTTTTCCGCCCTGTCTCTTTGTCTCTTCATCTTTTTCAACCGGAGCCCGCCTTGTCATCCATCACTGGGAGGCTGGTGTGACCAGTGGGCACATGCACACACACACACACACACCTCTTTCTTCAAACTTTAGTTTCTCTTTTTTCCCTCCAGTCTTTGAGTGAAATGCTTGTGTTTGGATGGATGGGAAATCTTGAAGCTGGAGAAGTTGTTACAAATGTGTTCCCATCACAACTCTTTATAGCAATGCAAGTTTTCCTTACATTTCCTCCTTCATCTTCATATGGACTCGGCACAAATCCCTATTATCTTCCATGTTCCCTTTGAAAATCGTTCTTTGTCACAACAAACGATGGAATCATGCGGTTAAAAAACAACTGAAATAGCTCATAGCAGACTTCTGCACACAGAAAGTCTCACAGATGTCTCGGCTCCACAGTGGAACAAAATAACTTGAACCTAAAATAAAATTGCCACTGTAATGTCATACAGAAAAACTCCAAAATGACAAAGAAAAAAGGAAATGGAAACAGCTAAACAAAAGGTGACTAGAGACTGATGTTCTGCTTTTTCTTCTCTTTTTTCATCCCCGGCTCGTAGTGTGGTATGATCTTTTAGTTTGTTCCAATCTTTCTCCGGTAGCGTTGATAGGCCTTTGTATCTTCAGCCTGTGTGTGTGTTTTCTTGCATCTTAAAACAGGTAAACAGGTTTGTATTGGCTGATGCTCATGCTGCTCTTCTTGTGTTGTTTTTGAAATTCTCTGAACAGTGAGGGGGGCTTGAAGAAAGTAATCCTCAAATGTTGATGGATGTCTGTACAGTTGATTTTGGATTCTATACATGTAGCCTTCTATGTCTGACATTGTCCATCAGACGTACTCTTAAACATTGTGGCGGCACACATCTTTCCCTCTGCTCAAACATTAGATTATCCCTCCGATGGATTCAGATTATGGACCGAAATAGACAATCTAATGAAGGATGAGGAAATGTACTGATATATCTTCATATATCCTAAAACCCAGTCATCTCTTCTCTGCCTCCTCTTCCTCTTCCTCCTGCTCTTCCTCAAGGAGGGAGGAAAAGACTGCCAAAAATACCATTATTTGCTCAGCAAGTTAAAAAGAATAGATGTGACTTGTCAACCTAAAATAGAAATTAAAAGAATTGGATGATGTAATTCTCTGTTCTTTTTAAAGTTCTCTTTGGGTTTTTTTTCAAGCTCTTCTTTTTTGCCTTTAGTTCTCAGGATGGCATGATCTTGATTACTCAATTCCCTCACATCTCCATTTTATTAATTAAACTTTCATGATCCAATCTAATCTAATGGATCTCATTTGACTGTGTGTTGTGTGAAGTGAATGCCAAGTGCGATCTGTTTTCTGTATTTCATGAAGTATGGTCTTTGATGGCTTTATGTTTTGCATCATATGGGTAAAAGGGTGAGCAGGGTGCCATGCAGGAGCTTACAGTGCCACTTAAGTTCTCTGAATGCCGTTTCAGCAGCAGCAGCAAACGGTTGATGTTGCCTATTCATGAGAGAGTGACCTTAGCACACTGTCACTGCTCTCCTGCACCTGCCGTGATTTATTGGTCACAGAACGGTGGGCAGGCTGACGATGCGCCAGAGTTTGTGCGCGGGGCAACACGTGACCGCCCCTTCCCCTTCAGCATTTGCCCTTCGCTTTCAACTTGGTCCACCTCTTCAGGACCAAATACACATAAACACTGCAGAATAAATCCGCACTCTACTTGTAATTCAGCAGTCTTAATCCTTTCATTGTATTTTAGAATGTTGCAATGTGTTGTATAAAGAAAACTTAAAGATGTCACCTTTGGCCCCTTTAATAGACAGCTGGGACTTTTGCTTTTTTTAAAGATGTAAGTGTTCTCGTGCAGTGTGTTGAAACTCTGACTAAACACTGAGTTAAACAATTGTCAATAAAGGAGGAGTCGGAGTAAGTTTTCTTCATTTACTGTCACAGAAAACTGCAAAATAAAAACAATAAGACATTCATTGTCCCTGTAATAGCTTAAAGGTTACATTTTACATTTACGTGACACATAACTGTTACTTAAACAAATGTTTTCATGAAATAATGATCAATATACTTTCTTTAACATCTCTTTGTTCAAACAAATAACTCACAGCATTGCCTGTCCAATGATTCTCAGTGGATGGCAGTGGATTAGCTCCAGAGCATGCACAATCTGACTGAGCCTGCTGCAGGTCTAATATGAGCCCTGAGAGGAAATGACATCATCATCTAACAAAATAAAAGCCATGCCCCGAAAGCTACATCTAAAAACTGAACGAATACCATAATGGCAACACAAAAGATTTAAAGATCGATGTGTTTAAACTCATTCTTACAGTATTACATCATGCGACAAGAGGATAGTTTGTATGAAACATGGAGGTAGTCTGAGTGACATCACCCGTTGGTTTCTAAAGAAGAGTCTTGAAGCCCAATGATGGGCGTTGCCATATTGGAAATGTTTTCTTAACCCAACGTTCAATCAATCTAGCATTACACAAAGAGCGGGAGTGGAGGCAGGAAAAACTCAAAAATGTGCCAACCTGTCAGTCAAATCAACCAGGCTAAACAGCATGAAAACAGATCAGTTATCACAAAGATCTGTACTGTTTTTGCCAATAAGAAAATGAGCCATTCAGACCAAAACTGTTTGGATGACCAGGATGTAAAAATGGGGATCTTAATATGGGACCTGATGGGGATTCCTTGGCCTTAATTGCCAGCCTCAGGTGAATACTCGAGTAACAGCAGTTGTGTGCACTTCCCCATTGGCTTCATTTTACACCGAAGGCTATCCTGTTGGGATAGAAGAAGCAGGGCTTGCCTGTTGTTTTTCATGATATCTGTTGTTTTTGTGGGAGTATTTGTCATTCTGAGCACAGATTGGTTTGATGAGTTTGAGTTTGTTTTTGTGTCAGGAGACAAACAGGAGGAGGGAGGAAGAAAAGAGGCTCAGAAAATCAAAACAAAGAGAGAATCTGAAGAGCAAGCTAGTATACATCTTTATGAATCGGGGGCACAATATGGATATGCAGGAGCCGAAAGACTCCAAAGTTCAGAGTGATGATCAGACTTTGCATGATATGTTACAGGTGTTCCAAAAACAGTACAATTGTATCCTCATAAGGATGTTTTTTCTTTGGCTGTATGGCCCAGGGTTCAACAAATCGTAGAAGGTGCATGCAAAAACACATGATTTATTCATTTAACAACACTGTGTGTTTGTGTGTGTGTGATGTGAATATGTTTTCAACAACCTTGTGTGTGTTTGGAGAGCTAATGATGTGTGCAGCAGCGCTTGGTTGTCTCTCATTCAGTAACAGATGCTGGCCTATTAACCGAGATGTGTTTTTGATAAGAATAAAGCATTGCCACTGTGTGTGTGTGTGTGTGTGTGTGTGTGTGTGTGTGTGTGTGTGTGTGTGTGTGTGTGTGTGTGTGTGTGTGTGTGTGTGTGTGTGTGTGTGTGTTGGTGTGTGTGAGTGTGCGTCTGTGTGTGCGTCTGTGTGTGTGTGTGTGTGTGTGTGTGTGTGTGTGTGTGTGTGTGTGTGTGTGTGTGTGTGTGTGTGTGTGTGTGTGTGTGTGTGTGTGTGTGTGTGTGTGTGTGTGTCTGTGTGTGTGTGTGTGTGTGTGTGTGTGTTGGTGTGTGTGAGTGTGTGTTTGTGCGGTTGTGTGTGTCGTCTGTGCTATAGGGATAAACATGCAGCCCTTTACTCAGCCTAACCAGGAGTCCCAGAGAAATACTGGAGCCTGAGTGTAAAATGCTGATTTATGTGGAGCATCGATTTTCTTCCTACAGTCTCTGAAGGAGTGTTTTATTCAGGACCTGAGGCTGATAATATCCTGGCTTTCTGCCGTCTCTGCTGCCATCTTTGCCTTCAGCACAGAACTCTATTCTGGGCTGATTAACCAGTTTATGCTCCGGTCCAACTGGCAAATGTTTTTATGATCACTCCTTTTAGGTCACAATGTTTACCTTGTACTTCTCTGCAGTGTCATTCAATCAATACTGCTTTAGTTCTGTTGAATCAAAGTCTGTCACAGCAGCGGTCAAACATCTAACAACATCTCTCTCTCTCTCTCTTTGTCCCTCTCCACTCAGCCTGATGTCGTCCAGACAGTACTACTTTGAGATCCTTCACAAGCAGGATGACAAGGGCTCGGATCACGTGGAGGTTGGGGTAAGTGGACCCATACTGTGAAATGGTACAGTGGTTAGTGCGAGCGTCCCGTGTATGGAGGCCATAGTCCTCCAAGCGGGCGGCCCGGGTTTCGAGTCCGACCTGTGGATCTTTTCCCGCATTTCATTCCCCAAAAATAAATCTTGAAAGAAAAGAAAATGGTTATAATCAAGCAGCCGGGGATGCTGGATGGCTTTTTTTTTTATAAAAAGGATAAAACATGGATCACTTATTACAAAGAACATTTTTAAATTCTACGTTGTAAAACCATAAATTTATATTTTTTTCCCAGAGGTTTTCCGAGTCAAATCTTTGAAACATTTTTCTTATAATGGGGGGTTATTTTTTTCTCTCTGCATTTTTTTGCCCTCCCAGTCATTTCATTTTCTTCTTTAAATGCTGATGTTGGCATATGTAAATGCTCCCACCTGTCTCCAGAAAGCTTTTACCTTTGGCAGGACTATTTGCATTTCTCTTTTACTTGTATCCGGTGTTTAACACTGTCAAAGTGATGCTGAGAAATGCAGAAGGGTCTGAAGTAGAAAAATCTCCTTTACTTCGTTAGCTGAACATAACTTTGCATTTTTTTCCCCTTTTTTCCTTGGACTCATCAGACACTTTCTTTTCCCTTGCAAAGGGTTTAACATCTCACAGCTATTCTTCTTTCCTCTATCCTCTCTCCCTTTTTCCATCTGTCATCACTCTCCTCCTCCTCAGCACTTCTTCTAAGTTTTCCTCTTTGTGCTGTACGTATCCTCCCTCACTAACTTTCTGCTGTCTCTCTGACTCTCCTCCTGCACCATTTCTCTCTTCAGTAGCTGTGCTCTGCACCTCAGGCAGAGCTCAGAGATGAGTGGAGCTTAATTTCGAGATGAAGTTTCAAACGAGAGCCCACACGCCTCATGTGAGCCTGTGCTTTGAGTGGGAGGGTGGATGATAAAAAGAGATCACTGGTGTGTGTTTGGAATGAGTCTCTTAACAAGCCCCAGGTTATCATCATGGCGGTGACCATCATCATCAGAAAAAGCTGCAGCAGTGGAGCTGCTCTCTTCTTTCATAAAACTTCAGTGGCACTTTTCACCCGCAGGGTTAATGATTTTTTTAACTTCTCTCTCAGTGAATCTTTATTCCCTGCAAACTCTGTCTGAGTGCCTCTGGCTTCTTTCCTTCACCTATATTTCTGTCTCCATGCTAGTTCTTATTAGTTTCTTCCTAAGTCTTTTTTTTAATGAACCCTCTTGTCATATTTTATTTTGCCTTTTTTTTAAGTTTCTAAAAACTATTTATCACTTCAGCACTCCTTAACCTCAGGGCACAGAGTCCTGATTTCCTCTGTTCTGTTTCTCTCTGGGCTGTTCAGTGTTGTTCATGTCAGCTAGATGAGATGAGTGTTTGACAAAGAGAGGAAGGCACAATCATGCCGTACTTACACTCAGGCCTGAAGTGTGAATCCAAAATGGTAAATCAGTTTAATCAGCTGTCGTGTTTTTTTTTTTTCACACCAGCTGTATAAAATGTACCCTTCATGGCAGGTGTCCCAATATACTGTTGCAGTGATGTTGTGGGTCCTTGGTGTGGGTGTGTTAGGAATATTCTGCTGATGATGTGCAAGTGTGACTAATAAATTACAGCCCATGACAGCCACAAAGACAAAACAAATAACTGTCCCTTTATTTGGAGAGCTTCTGCATCAGACAAACAGACTGAGGATGTGACATGATAAAGGCAGAGATGGTTCACTGTTTATCTCTGCTTTGCTGAACTGCTGGCTCTTGCTGGTTTATCTGGTACCCGTGTGGACAGTGAGGTCCTCAGGCTCGATGGTGTTGAACATTTGCAGGTGTTAGGACATGTTGACATCAACTTTCACATTATTTCAATTAGAAAACTGCTTCTCCTTCTATACTTAGATCATTTAATGTTATGTGTGCTGCAAATTATAAACGTTGACTCATCAAAACTGAGGCTAAATGTTTGTTGTTGATAGAGTATTGTAGAATATTTCTCATACAACCACTTAAATTGAAGATAGATGGTTTTGCAATTTGGAAGCAGCCATCAACCTTGAAACAAAGCATACATTTTATATGATGTATTATAACATTATGGTTCGTAAACGGTATGGCATGAACAATCATTTGTTGTTTTTTTCGGAAACCTGATGAGTGTTAAATAGTGTCTACAGCTAAGGATTTACATAGTCAAATCTGATTGGTCAGATTTTGTCTATACAGTCTTTTTATCCCTACCCCTGTTCTGATGTACCGGGCCAATAGCATGCCACTGTGAAGATGACTGATGTTTGTTGTAGCCAATGAGATTGTGAACACAGACATGCTGCTTATCAGTCAATAACTGGTGGTGGTTTCTTCATGCATCCAGTAAGGAGATTGATTAAAAGTACAAACGGTTTTCAGAATTACAATAAAAGTATGAATAAGTTACCTGTCAGCACCTGTGTGTCTGATCAGACTTAAAGCTGTTTGTTTGTTGTTACTGACGTTGTTCCCTCCTCTAGATCTTTGCTTGTGCTGCACTTACTCTTTGAGGTTAGTTGATCAACGGGTCTGCTTAATGAATAGTTGGATATTAATACCAAGATAGGCTCATGATTTATAAACAAGTGTTTGACTCTGAGATTGGCAGTCAAATTGCACATGGGTCGACCGAGCAAGCAGCCTGTAACAGTCACTCCTGTTCCTTTTCTTACCTTCTTGTATTTTCTGATTCTGATTCTGATTCTGAACAAGGTTCTTTTGAACAATTGGACTACTTGGGGTCACCTCCAGAGTTAAGCCCAATATTCTTTTTTTTTTTTCTTTGCTAGGTTCGGCCACATTTTTCCCCCACGATTTTTTCCCCTACAAGGTTTTAACTTTGTGTCCCTGTGGCTTCTTGCAGGGCAGGAAGTGTAAAATAGGGTTAAACCGCAGAGTCTTCTGGCTGACAGCTGTATTTTTGAGAGTAGGAAGAAAAAGCTAATACAATAAAGTTGCAGGTCATGAAAGACAGTTAAAGCTGTATTTTTTCAGTAAGGGCGACCAATACTACATGATGTTGACAAGAGAAGCTTTTGAAATGGAGTAAAATAAGTACATTACGTAAACCTCCATTCCTGGATCATATTACATCTGCTCAGTGCTCTGCAGTAAGTTAGACCTTTACTTTCATGCATGCCTATTTCTGTAGTGCCTAAGTCTATAGGCGACACGTGTTTGTCCACAGTGAAGGCTTAAGTTGACTATTTCAGAATGACCAAATACAAATTGGGTGAAAATAAGAGAACTGCTTAAAAATAACACATATCAAAAATGTATAAAATCAACTTTGCAGGCAATTCAAGGCCTCTAAACTAATGATGTTTCTCTTTTTGGAGCTTGACAAAGACCAAAAGAACACAACTGCCAGAGAAGAAGATGAGACAGAATAAGGAGGACAAACAAACTGGAGCAGAGTTTAGAAAGAATATGTAAAGGCTTTTACATGAAATATTTCTTTTCTTTTTCCTTTGGTATTTCTTATTCAAATAATCAGCTTTGTTGCAGACTTTGCCAGTCATCCAGAAAACTGTTGAGATTATTATGTCAACCGGTGAATCAAGGTCATTTGGAAACCCTCCTCTCTCTCTCTCTCTCTCTCTATTTCACTCACTCCAACACCTCGCCCTCAGCCCACTACTCACGAGGCAATCAAAGTGGGTTTGCAGTCGAAGTAACAGTATAATGAAACGTGCAAAAGTCATGCAACAAATCAAGATAGTGTGTGGTCAGGCTCGTGTGTGTATGTGTGCGCGCTGCACTGTCACCCAAAGGCCCCAGTGTGTGATTTAGCAGCAGAATACATTTCACACCTTGACAAAAATAGCAGATTTACCGAGACCGGCCCACAACAGGGTAAGCCCAGAGCTCACATAAATCCGCAGAAGCCCAGCGCTGCACTCATTTGTTAAAGAGCAGATAGTGTGGATTCACAGCTCTTCTCTCCTCTGTGCTATACCAAGCTGTGATTGCATGGTCAAAGGTGGGCTGTTCCTCCGGGAGTGTGTTTGTTTTCTCCTGCTTGTTACAAAGAAACAAAAGGGAGTAAATATCAGATAGTACACACGTCTGGAAGTTTCCCTTTGGCAAGACAAAAAAATAAGAAAGGGAGGTCTTGTTCTCTCTGTGTTGGCTCCTTTTTTTTTTTTTTTACTCGTGAAGGAATTAGGAGGAATGGCTGCAGGAAGGCGGAACAAAAACAGAATTAGAATCAGGGAGTGACAAGTTGGGAATACACTGGCTTTCCAGAGGCGATGGAAACAACTGTTTGTATACGAACAGCAGGCCAATGAATAAGGAGATTGTTAGGACGAGTAACTAAAGCTGCACTCAGACTGAACCTTTCCATTACTGCGCCCTGCCTCAATGTTTTTCTTCAATTAACTTCAAATAAACCTCCTTTTTAGAGTGATGACCGTTTTTTTTTTTTTAAAGGATTATACTGGATGAAAGAAGATTTAGCATGCACAAGTGTCATTAAGGTCTTTAAATGTCATCTGGATCTTTGTGGGTAAAAACACTGGACCTTTCCACAGGCCTTAATGGAAAACGTCTCCCGCCCGCTCTGTGACAGAATGAGAGAATGTGTTGGCCGTTAAATGATGTGATTGAGTTGAGGAGGGAGTGAGAGAAAGAGGAGAAGAAAGGCATGCCTTAATTAGTAATGGCAACTTTATGGAGAGGCCAGAGGTGTGGGATTTAAATGCCCGACTTTAATGACCCAGTTTTATCACTCCTGCCAGGCCAAACCTTAAACTGCCCCACCAATTAATACACACACCAACGTATGCACAGACACACACACACCCATCTACACTCAAACCCTGCAGACTCATGAGTGAAGTCACAAAGGCAGAACCATACACAAATGAGCACCCAGGCCCCTCAACATCTGCCTCACGCCTCCCTTTCTAAGTGTAAATCAGGAGTGGTCCCTGCGACCTGGAGCCAGCTCTTAAAGTA